ATGATGCTCGCTTGAGCGAACAAAAGCCAGCGAGGAAACCTGCCCCTCGCGAGGTTGCTCGCTTGAGCAAGGATGGCAGCAAGTGATTTAATTTCAGACCCGAGAGCACTACCAACATCAATGGTTGCTCGCTGGACTGCTCTCTTAAAGTCAGCGATCATACACTGACTCATTAAAATGGTTCCTGTAAGAACCCGCATCATTAAATTGGAATTTTAGTAAATTAATAATTATAATTTAGGGCTTTAGGAAAATTATTCCATAATTGAAATAGGATAATTAGAATAAAATAATAGTTGTTGAATTAAATCACTTTTAGAGGGAAAATGTAAATACAGATGTTTGCGGTAAAAATGCGTATCGGCGAAATTATTCGAAAACTTAAAGAATAACTTAACAATTATTATATTATGCTATTAGAGAGTTAAAATGACAACAAAAATATCTAAGTTATGTGTGGAGAGAATTAAGGAGTGAGTTAAGTGGATGATTAGTCGTTAGGGTAATGGGACCCACTTAAATGACTAACACACACTCTCCTCTCTTTGTTTTTGAATTCTCTCATTTCAAAATCCTAGATGACACCTCTCTAACACTCTCATGGCTTCCCTTCCTCATTCTCCATGAAAGCTCATGACTTTCACCATGAGACCATGCCAAAGCTTTACATTTCTCTACCTCTCTTTTAATCTATTGCTTTAAACACTTGAAAGCTTGTGACTTGAAGGAGAAAAACCTATTCTTGAAGACTTCTAGTTGTTGTCTTGGGGACTTGGAGTGTGTTCATTTCATTTTGAGGGGTTGGAGCATCACTACACCTTGTTGTAAGGCTCTCTAGGAAGAAAGAATCAACCTTTACCAAGGGATTTTCATACACTTGGCCTGACAAAAGTTCGGTGTGGACTACAAGCCTTGAAGACACTTTCGTTTTCTATTTTTGAAGCCTTGGATATATGTTTCAACATTTCCTCTTGAGTTTCTACGAAAAAGATTGAGTCTTGGATATGTAAAATGAGAAAACATGATAACCTAAGTGACTACTAGCCTAAACACGTGTAAATATGGTTGCTTAGGTGTCTATTGCTGATAAAAATGGAGTCTTTGAGTCCATATCCAGATATCCATATCTGGATATCTTCGCGTGGAATGCAGTTCTGCACTTCTATAGCGAAATATCCAGATATGGATATCTGGATATGGACTCAAGCAATATCTGGATATAGATATCCGGATATGTCCTCGACAAATATCTGGATATTTAATTGTTTTTGCATTTTTTGCAGAATAACCCGAACAGAACCCTTTGGAATGACGTAGGACCCTTAACCGAACATTAATGACCTATGTAAAACGAGTTTAAGTCATAACCTAAGAGATTAAATGCTTAGGACTTTGGAAAAAGCCTTAAGTGTGGTAATTGGGGATGAGATAGAGTCTCTCCATATATTTTAGACTAAAACATGTATATTAATTGAATGTATACTCTGGAAACAAATTGTGACAATATTGGATACTAATAAACCCATGGTTTACCATGGTTTTAGGCCTTATTATACTTGAAATATATTATGAATTGCATGGAAATTAGGGTTTTATACCGTAAAGTCACGATAATTGAATATCTTGCTAACATGTTGTCATAATTCTTATTTCAAGGGATTTTTTACATCCATTATGGCTCTTTGGAACCAAAAGAATACAACAAGAGGAGTTGAAGCCTTAAAGAAGCAAGATTTCAAGCATGTGTAAGCTGGAAGATGACGTTTTGGAGTCCAAGATAATCATTAAAACGCTATAAATGAAGAAAACAACAACAAATCACTGGAGTAGAGCGTTTTGGCGGCCAAACAGAGCGCCAAAACGCTCTAGAAGCAACAAGTTACCCTTCAAAGAGGGCGTTTTGGCGCCCAATAGCACCCTAAAACGCCCAGAGGCAGACAGCAATGCATTGGGAGGATGTTTTGGCGCACAAATAGCACGCGAAAACGTCCATGTACGAACTCATCAGCCCAAGATTCAACTAAGATTTGCCAATGAATACAAATCGCGATATCTGGGATTAAAGCGGAAACATATCAATCTTAATTTAGTAATTGATAGAGATCCAGGGGAAGATTTGATGAAAGATCATAACGAAGATTCGAAGCACAAATCTATCAACCAATCTGCAAGATCTTAATTGCAAAAAGGAAACAATTATAGAATCGATTGCAAATCTGATAAAAATTCGTTGGAAGATTCAATGAAGGATATAACTTCAATGATTATAAATAAGGGGCTGAGGGTCAGACCAGAATACAAATTCACCAATTCAGAGAATTACACAGAGACCTGAAGGAGGAATCCTGTTGCGAAGCGCTGGAACACTAAGGAGCCAAGTCAACATCACACCAATGGAGGCTTAGGGTTCCCTTTTCTTTATTATTGTTTTTTAATTCAGTATGCTAGGCTAGTCTTTTATGTAGTTGGGGGTATATGGAACCCAATTGAATCGTTTATGTTTATGAATTAAGTTGTTCTTGAATTCTTTTCTTTTTATAATTGAATAAATTTATCTGTCTTTAATGCTTTCTATGAGTTTGCTCCTTATAGAATGATTTTTCAGAATTGTATGACAATAGGGATGTTGGTGCATGAACCCTGAGTTGATAAATTTATCATAATCCTCGTGATCTAGGGATAGACATAGGGTAATTGTGCAATCTTTAAATTCTTGATCTTAATGCATGTTTTCTTGGAAAATAATCGGCGAACTAGAGTTCTTTCAAGATCACATAGATTTAGTAACAAGGAATTGAGCCCTGATTAACTTAGATAAAATTGATTGGCATTATATTAAGAAAAGGTTCTTGACTGTTTAATTCATAACATAACGAGGATATTGGGGGAAGTCGAAAGCCTAACTATGCTTGTTTTTAATTCTTTAATCAATCATCATCTTTTTCAATTGTCTTTTTAATTCTGAATTTTCTTTAATTGAATGCTATTAATTGTTTTTAATTTTAAATTCTTCAGTTACAAATTCTCTCAAATCCAATTCTTGATTGTCCAACTAAAACGCGATTAGAGAACTAGTGCTTGAAAATTCGATCCTCGTGAGAACGACCTCGTACTCCGGTACACTTTATTACTTTATGACCGGTGCACTTGTCGAGTCGCAACAATTTTTTGGCGCCATTGCCGGGGATTGGATCCTTCAACATTAGAAGTAACTAATTACCTTTTAGATTGGACGTTTTAATTTTTTGCACTTTGAACATTCTTCAAAAATATTTTCTGCATTAAAATTCTGCATCAATTTTCTGCATATTTTAATTTTTTGCATTCTTTGTTTATTTTTATTTTTCTGTTTTCTGTTTTGCATTTTCTATTTTTTCTACACATCTTTTCAATCTTAGTTTATGCGAGGAACTCTTAACCCGCGAATCTTGCAGTTTGATCCTGAGATAGAAAAGACAGAAAGGAAGCTTAGGAAGGACGCAAAAGCGAAGAAAGCGAAGGAAGCAAAAGAAACCTCAAGTTCAACGGAACCAAAAGAGGAGACAATGGCTGACAATAACGCAATTCAAAACCCTCCAAGGACGTTGGGAGATTACATGACTCCAGCCCGAGTTCCACAAACGACGAGCATTGTTAGACCAACCGTGGATGCTAACAAGTTCGAACTTAAGCCAGCACTGCTGCAATTGATCAAAAAAGATCAGTTCGCTGGAGGAAGCACGGAGGATCCCTATATTCATCTTGATAACTTCTTGCTTTACTGTGATACTTTAAAGATGAACGGAGTCTCACGTGACGCCATCTTGCTCAGACTATTTCCATGCTCACTAAAGGATGACGCAAGAGCTTGACTGCAGTCACTGCCCGAGGGAAGCATCACCAACTAGAACGACTTAGCAATGAAATTCTTGGCCAGATTCTTCTCAGCTTCTAAGATGGCAAGGCTCAAATCAGAGATCACTGCTTTTGAACAAAAAGAAAATGAATATTTGTATGAGGCATGGGAAAGGTTTAAAGGACTACTCCGAAAGTGTCCTCAACATGGCATTGAAGCATATGAGAAAGCAAGAATCTTCTTCCAAGGGATGACACCAAGCACAAGAACATTGGTGAATGTTGCAGCAAGAGGATCGTTGAAAACAAAAACTCCAGAGGAAACATTGGAATTGTTGGAATCTTTAGCTTCTCAGGAGTATGACAATGCTCCAGTCACACAAAGAAGAGCAGGAATCATGAAGCTAGACGGCTATGATGCAATCTTGGCTCAAAATGAACAAATACTGCAAATTAATAAGAAACAACAAGTACAAGTAGATGCTCTTACAAATCAATTTAATCTTTCTCAAGTTTCTTCTGTTAGAAATTCTCAAGTTAAATGTGGTATTTGTGCATATGCTCATGCAACTGAAGAGTACGACTACATAAGAACAACTGAAAAGCCGCCAGCGGATCAACGGTATCTGGTACGATCAAAAGAACTAGAACAATCTAGGGAGGAACCAATATGGAAATAACTATAATCAAGGGTGGAAAAATCCTAATCATCACCCTGAGATTGATTACAAATCAACCCATCAGCTGAATCCTCCTCTACCACTGCAACAACAACCCCCACCACAAGGAAACACTTCAGAGTGGGAGAAAGCTTTTGCGCAGCTGTCCAAGACCACATCAGTCTACATTCAGAATGTAGATGCCTTCAGAGATGAAACTAGAGCTTCATTCCGAAATCAAGAAGCTTCTATCCGGAATTTGGAAACTCAGATTGGCCAGCTGTCAAAATAATTTACTGAAAGAACTCATGGCACCTTCTCGAGTAATACAGACACGAACCCAAATGCATAATGTAATTCAATTGTTACCAGAAGTGGGATCGTGATCCAACCTGTGATAAAACCGCAAGTTGAAAAGAAGAAAGAAGCTGAACCTGAAGCCGAAAAAGAAAAAGAAGAAGATGCAGGAGAAGCTGAAAAGAGCAGTCGAGAGAAGAAGTTGTTCAAATGGAAGAAAAAAAAGCTTTGGACAGGCAACCAAAGCCAGCAGACCTGTCTCCCTATGCACGAGTTCCGTACCCTCAGCGGTTGAAACAAGAGATCCAGAAACAACAATACACCAAATTTCTGGATATCTTCAAGAAGCTGCAAGTCAATATTCCATTCGCAGAAGCCCTGGAAAGCATGTCGAACTATGTGAAATTCATGAAAGACCTTCTATCAAAGAAGCGCAAGCTGAAGGAGCGCGAAACAGTGGCTCTAACTGAAGAATGTAGTGCAATCATCCAAAAGAAACTTCCTCCCAAGCTGAAAGATCCGGGCAGCTTCAGAAACTTGATGCCACTGTCCATGTGCAGAGCTCTGGGAATCAAAGAGCTAAAGCCGACTACGGTTTCTCTTCAGTTAGCTGACAGATCGATCAAACGACCAGATGGGGTAATTGAGGATGTTTTGGTTAAAATTGACAAATTTATCTTCCCTGCAGATTTTGTAATTCCGAATATGGAAGAAGATGTTGAGATTCTCCTACTACTTGGGAGGCCATTCTTAACCACCGCAAGAGCAATGATCGATGTGGAGCAAGGAAAACTGATGCTGAGGATGAACGAAGAGACAGTCACCATTGAGATCTTTGAGTCAATGAAGCACCCGTCAGACGAAGGAGATTGCTTCATGGTTGACATAATACAAGAAGCAGTTGATGACACGATAAAAGAGGAGAGTTCCCCACTCGAGTTAGAGCAAATCAACGAAGAAGCTGAACTTGAAGAAAAAGAACCAGTGGTGGAAGAACTTGAAAGAAAGAAAGATGACATCCCTCTTGGAGCACCGAAGGTAGAGCTTAAGAAGTTACCTCCAAATCTGAAGTATATTTTCCTTGGTAACAACAACTCTTATCAAGTCATCATCAATGTTGAGCTGTCAACCATAGAAGAAGAAAAACTTCTCAAGGTGCTGAAGAAACACAAAGCTACCATAGGATGGTCCTTCTCCGACCTAAAAGGTATAAATCCTTCCTTTTGTACTCATAAAATTCTAATGAAAGATGATATTAAACCTGTAAGGCAGCCGCAAAGGAGACTCAATCCAACCATGAAAGAGGTGGTAAGGAAAGAGGTAGTTAAACTATTAGATGCAGGAATGATCTATCATATATCTGATAGCGCATGGGTAAGTCCAGTACAAATTGTACCCAAGAAAGGTGGAGTCACCGTGGTAAGAAACGAGAACAACAAGTTGATTCCAACAAGGGCAGTCACCGGGTGGAGGATGTGTGTTGACTATAGAAGACTTAATGCAGCCACTCGGAAGGACCACTTCCCAATTCCCTTCTTGGACCAAATGTTGGAGAGACTAGCTGGCCATGGTTTCTACTGCTTCCTGGATGGATACTCGGGATACAACCAAATAGCAGTAGCTCCATAAGATCAAGAGAAGACAACATTTACATGCCCTTACGGAGTCTTCGCTTACCGGAGGATGCCCTTCGGCCTGTGCAACGCTCCGGCAACTTTTCAAAGGTGTATGCTTTCTATTTTTTCTGATATGATTGAGAAATCTATTGAGATCTTCATAGACGATTTTTCTGTTTTTGGCCCCTCTTTTGACATTTGCTTAGAAAATTTATCTTGTGTTTTACAAAGATGTCAAGAGAGTAATCTTGTTTCAAATTGGGAAAAATTCCACTTCATGGTAAAAAATGGCATTATTTTAGGACATAAAGTGTCCAAAGATGGTATAGAAGTTGATAGAGCTAAGAATCTGTTATCGAGAAACTTCCCCATCCCTCTATTGTCAAAGGTATTCAAAGTTTTCTCGGTCATGCAGGTTTTTACAGGCGCTTTATCAAGGACTTTTCCAAGATAGCAAAACCACTATGCAAGCTGCTGGTCAAGGATGAGGAATTCAACTTCACAGATGAATGTTTGTTAGCATTTAATATTTTAAAAGATCGCTTGACCACAGCACCCATAATCACTACACCAGATTTCACTTTACCTTTTGAATTAATGTGTGATGCCAGTGATTATGCCATAGGAGCTGTCTTGGGACAAAGAAAGAATAAATTGTTGCATGTGATTTATTATGCTAGTAAAATTCTTAATGATGCACAAATGAATTATGCTACCACTGAAAAAGAATTACTAGCAGTAGTCTATGCATTTGATAAATTTAGACCGCATTTGCTGGGGTCTAAAGTAATTGTTTATACTGATCATGTTGCCTTAAAGTATTTATTGAATAAGCAGGATGCAAAGCCACGCTTGCTCAGATGGATGCTTCTCCTTCAAGAATTTGAAGTAGAGATCAAAGATAAGAAAGGAGTGGAGAACTTGGTGGCTAATCACCTCTCCAGGATTCAAGAAAAAGATCTTCAAGACGGACCTGAGCTGAAGATCGGAGAAGAATTCCCTGATGAGCAAATTCTGGCTATCAATGTTATTTTAGATCTGCAACTGGAGGAAGTGAAGAGCACAAGTACACCTCCATGGTTTGCGGATTTCGCAAACTTTAAAGCAGCAGGAGAAATACCAGTAGACTTCACATGGAAACAAAGAAAGAAGTTTCTACATGATGTCAAGAAATACCTATGGGATGAGCCCTTCCTTTTCTACAGTTGTGCTGATGGAGTAATAAGGCGATGCATTCCAGAAGAAGAGATGAAGGACATCCTGTGGCACTGTCATGGTTCCAACAACAATGGACATTTCACGGGAGAAAGAATAGTCGCAAAGGTACTGATGAGTGGCTTTTATTGACCAACCCTCTACAAGGATGCAAGGAAGTTCGTTGAATCATGTGATAGATGTCAGACAACGGGGAATATTTCCAGAAGACATGAAATGCCCCTTAATAACATATTAGAGGTTGAAATCCTCGATGTGTAGGGAATAGACTTCATGGGACCTTTTCCTCCTTCCTATGGCAACAAATACATCTTCGTTGCAGTGGATTATGTCTCCAAGTGGGTAGAAGTTGTTGCTCTTCCTACTGATGATGCTCGAGTAGTCATCGCATTCCTAAAAAGAAATATATTTGTCCGATATGGAGTACCGCGAGCGATTATAAGTGACAGAGGGACTCACTTTGACAACAGGCAAGTGGAATACGTGTTGGCTAAATGCGGAGTGAAACACAAGATTGCCACACCATATCATCCACAAACAAATGGTCAAGTGGAGATATCCAACCGAGAGCTGAAGCGTATATTGGAGAAGACGGTTGGAAGTTCCAGAAAGGACTGGTCCAAGAATCTTGATGATGCACTGTGGGCATACCGGACTGCATTCAAGACTCCAATTGGAATGTCCCCTTTCCAATTACTGTTCGGAAAAGCTTGTCACTTACCAGTGGAGTTGGAACACAAAGCACTGTGCGCAATTAAGTACCTGAACTTCGACTCCAAGACCGTAGCTGAAAAGAGACTACTTCAACTGGATGAGCTTGATGAATTCTGACTCTCTACATACGAGAGTGCGAGTCTTTACAAAGAAAAGACGAAGAAGTGACACGACAATAAGATCCTACCTCGAGACTTCAAGGTGGGGAATCAGGTATTACTCTTCAACTCTCGCCTCCATCTTTTTCCCGGGAAATTAAAGTCCAGATGGTCGGGACCGTTCATTGGGAAGAACATGAAATCATATGAATCAGTGGAGATCAGTCCACTGGATTCTGACAAGAGCTTCATAGTTAATGGTCAACGGCTGAAACTATACATGGGAAGAGAAATAGACAGGGAAACAACCATTGTTGCCCTTGTACAGGTAACTTGAACCAGGTACGGTAGGCTTGTGACGTTAAACAAGTGTTGATGGGTAGGCAAACCCATAAGTTACTGTTTTATTTTAAATTTTATTTTATTTTGGTTTCAAGAAAAGAAAACAAAAATAGGTGGATGGATGAGACTAATGGTAGATATCCCCATCGAAGGAGACACGATCCCCTTGAGTCTCATCATAGATGCAAATTACATTTCCACCTATGTAGGAGGACCAGCTGTTGATGGGGAGGACGACACAGCACCACCGCAGGAGACTCGCGGCAGACCGAGACGCACACCAGGACCATCTGGTCCAGCTGAGAGAGAGCCAGTTCTGACTACTGAGAGTCGACTGGATGATCTCAAGACACAGATGAAATTTCTCAGGCAGTGGCTCAGGTACATGCAGCGGAAGGAGCAGGACTACCAGACATACATGATGGCATATCATTGCCCAGCTCGACCTGATGGACCTCCCCCTTTCCAGCCAGAGCCATATGACAGATCGGATGAGGAGGGTGCTTTTGATGCAGCCAGGATGAGCACCTCCACAGCCCAGGCCACGACTTCACATGCTACAGAGGAGCCCGATGAGGATGTTGATACTGATGTCGGACATCATGAGGAGGCTGGCAAGGACACTGAGATGATCCCTGCCATTGTTTGAGACGCTGGGGAGGATGACATGGACGAATGAGATTTATTAGCTCACTGCTACCACCCCATCCCTATATTTCCCTTTTTAGTTTCTGTTATTCTGTTATTTGAGACCAGTATTTTGCTAGGTTAACCCTGTGATATGATTTTATACTTTCGCTCTTATGACTGATTCATTTAGATTGTTTGATGCTGTTTCAGAATGAGCGACTAGTATTCTTAGCTTCCACGTGATTTCTTTTTAGATTTAAATCTGTTGCTGAGGACAGCAACATTTAAATCTGGGAATGGGGAATGCGCATTCCATCTAAGCACAACAGATTGAGCCGGAGGAACTTCATGAGTATATGCAGAATACCCGGCTGAGACAGGGAACTATCTCAAATCTCCTTTTCCTTAATTTTAATTTTTAATTTTGTTGTTTTCATGTTTTTAATTGAACTTTTGAATTGTTTTTGTTTGAAAACCCCAAGCCACTGTTTTGTGAAAATTATGAGTATTTTTAAAAGTTTTCTCAGTGTTTTTAATTGGAAAAATGGCGGGAATTTTGAATTAGTAATTGATTCAGAGCATGATGATGCACTCATAAATTTTTTCATAATGAGCATCATTGCAATAAGTGACATGGTTCATCTAATTTTATCTTTAGTAGTGAAGTTGTTTTGAGAAAAAGAACAGGATAATTACTGTGCATTCATAGCCGTGAGGTTTTGAGCCTATACATAAATTTTTTATTGAAGTGTGCATTCCACTGTTGAGATACTCTAGAACTTGCTTTGTTTCTTGATTGAAATGGTCTGTGATATATTTTGTAGAAATGATAGAGGCATGTTCTTTCTTTAACTAGATGGCCAAATAGCTAACCTGTGCTGATATTCCTTAGTTGAGCCCCGTTGAGCCTAGACTTGTTATTCGTGGAAACCCTTGAATGTTAATAGCCACTTCCCCAAATAAATCCTCACCTTAATTGAAGGTTAATTTTCAAATATAAAGTAAGGAGTGGATGTAAGTTGTGGTTACACAAGTGTTCAACGAATGGAAGTACAGATGAAAAGGGCAAAGCCCAAGGAAGAAAAGTTGGTTAGAACAAAGAAGAGTAAGCAAATTGCTCAAAGAAAAGAAAGGAAAAGAAGTGAAAAAAGAAATAGAATGTTCTTGGAAAGAAAACGACAAAAGAGAGAAGTTCAAATGAAAAAGAAGAAAGAACTGGAAAGAAGAAGAAAAATGCTACAACTGAAAGAAATGAATTACTCTTATTCCTTTTCTTCTAAATCTGAATTTTAATCTTGAGCTTTTGTTCCAAAAAAATTTCCCTTCCTTTAACCAGGCCACATTACAACCCTGCTGAAGACCTCTTGATCTGCTTGATTTATTATAAGAACTGTGGAGAGCGAGAATATAAGCAAGCCTATGATAGTGTTGATTCAGTGGAGAATGAGTGAAACACCAACCCTTTAAACAGTTGAGTGCGAGTGAATTGAAATCCTAGTGAGGGAGTGTCTCGGAATTTTCCTTGTTCTTGATCTTAAGAAACTTCTTTGAAAATTTTAACTGATGAATTATGAATCTTGTTGCTTGATGCCTCATCTTTTTTTAAGTCTGAATGCTCTGTGATCATGTCTCTGATTAATTCCTGCCCATGAACTCCATGCAATTGAAGTTCCTGATTAATTTCCAATAAGTTTATTCTAGTTGATTGCTGAGGACAGCAATATTCAAATCTGGGAATGGTTGATAAACCCTTGGTTTACCATGGTTTTAGGCCTTATTATACTTGAAATATATCATGAATTGCATGAAAATTAGGGTTTTATACCGTAAAGTCACAATAATTGAATATCTTGCTAACATGTTGTCATAATTCTTATTTCAAGGGATTTTTGACATCCATTATGGCTCTTTGGAACCAAAAGAATACAACAAGAAGAAAACAATGCACTGGAGTAGAGTGTTTTGGCGGCCAAATAGAGCGCCAAAACGCTCCAGAAACAACAAGTTACCCTTCGAAGAGGGCGTTTTGGCGCCCAATAGCACGCTAAAACGCCCAGAGGCAGACAACAATGCACTGGGAGGACATTTTGGCACACAAATAGCACGCGAAAATGTACATGTACGAACTCATCAGCCCAAGATTCAACTAAGATTTGCCAATGAATACAGATCGCGATATCTGGGATTAAAGCGGAAACATATCAATCTTAATTTAGTCATTGATAGAGATCCAGGGGAAGATTTGATGAAAGATCATAACGAAGATTCGAAGCACAAATCTTTCAACCAATATGCAAGATCTTAATTGCAAAAAGGAAACAATTATAGAATCGATTGCAAATCTGATAAAGATTCGTTGGAAGATTCAATGAAGGATATAACTTCAATGATTATAAATAAGGAGCTGGGGGTCAGACCAGAACACCAATTCAGAGAATTACACAGAGACCTGAAGGAGGAATCCTGTTTCGGAGCGCTGGAACACTGAGGAGCCAAGTCAACGTCATACAAATGGAGGCTTGGGGTTTCCTTTTCTTTATTATTATTTTTCAATTCAGTATGCTAGGCTAGTCTTTTATGTAGTTAGGGGTAGATGGAACCCAATTGAATCGTTTATGTTTACGGATTAAGTTGTTCTTGAATTCTTTTCTTTTTATAATTGAATAAATTTATCTGTCTTTAATGCTTTCTATGGTTTGCTCTTTATAGAATGATTTTGGGGAATTGTATGACAATAGGAATGTTGGTGCATGAACCCTGAGTTGATAAATTTATCATAATCCTTGTGATCTAGGGATAGACATGGTAATTGTGCAACCTTTAAATTCTTGATCTTAATGCATGTTTTCTTAGGGAATAATCGGGGAACTAGAGTTCTTTCAAGATCACATAGATTTAGGGTAATAAGAAATTGAGCCCTAATTAACTTAGATAGAATTGATTGGCATTATATTAAGAAAAGGTTCTTGACTGTTTAATTCATAACATAACGAGGATATTGGGGGAAGTCGAAACCCTAACTACACTTGTTTTTAATTCTTTAATCAATCATCATCTTTTTCAATTGTCTTTTTAATTCTGAATTCTCTTTAATTGAATGCTATTAATTATTTTTAATTTTAAATTCTTCAGTTACAAATTCTCTCAAATCCAATTTTTGATTGTCCAACTAAAACACGATTAGCGAACTAGTGCTTGAAAATCCGATACTCGTGGAAACGATCTCGTACTCCGGTACACTTTATTACTTTACGACTGGTGCACTTGCCGAGTCGCAACAGATACCATGTTGGTGATCTATTGAACACCAAGATTTGATTGGAGGGCTATTCAGTGACAGGTAAGCTTTCGATTCTCAGGGTTAATCCCTTGTTTGTTCTACCAAACTCCAAGGAAGGATGGTTCTTTAATGTGGTATGTTGTTACATGGATATGTTAATGACACACTTTATATATATATGTGATGGTGTGTGATCTACACAAGATGGAAATTCCAGAGTGTGGTAGGTGTCCACACACGATGGGAATTTTAGAGTGAGGAGTTTTTTCACACAAGATGGTAATCCCTGAGTGGGGTATATCCTATGAAGCACCGACACTTCAAAAACTCGGATGTGTCGTGTCCGACACTTCCCGACACTCTCGGACACTCCCAGACACTCCAACACGCGTTATAGAAATTCAAAAAAAGGTTCAAAGGTTACGTTGCGTTGAGTTTTGAGTTTTGTAACACCCTGTTACCGGACCGGTGTGTTATCATCAAATATGATATTAAGCGCAGTTACAATCACATTAGTTATTTGAAATTACGGAAAAACTTTTTCTTTTTAATACCATTGGTACCTTTCAAATAACGGTGATCATAACTCAAAACGTATTGCAGAATTATGAAAGACATAGCTTAATACCATGCAACTTACATTTAAAGATGCCAAGTGGTTACCAAAACCAACAAGGCTAAAAAACTTATTTTGTTCAAGTTCAATACCAGTGTATTCCCTACTTTCTTATTATCCAATTACTTTAAAACTTCTCTTTTGACTCACA